GCCTTAAGTTTCACGCCGTGTTCATCGTTGCCGTGGTAGGGCTTCTAGAGTGGGTGATGCGCTCGACGGACGACCAGCCGCTCTACCACATCGCCGCGCCACCGGTGCCGCCGCCGCCGCCACCGATGCCAACTACTATCAGCTACACGCTGAGTCAGGAGATGCCACACCTGAAGTCTATGGAGCTCGAAGGAAAGATGCCCTCGCACGTGCCACAGGTGCGTGGGCTTGATTATGTTGCGCTTCGCAAGGAGGGAAAGCTCTCGTGATGGAGCGGCGGCAAAAGAAACGGGAGAACTCCCCGACAGCTGAGCGGCTGCGATGTCACGTCGTTGGTGTGTGCGATCACCATGACGCTACACTTAGATGGCCGAGATTGGTAGAGGAAGTGGTGGGAAAGAGGTGGGGGGGGGAGCCAGTGGGGGAAGAGGTTGTCTGCTGAGGAGGGAACCCTTCGCAAGTGTCGTGTGCGTATGGATGAAGCTGTTTGTGTGTGTGTGTGTTTCTGTCCAGCGATGGGTTTTTGCTTTCTGGAATTCTGTCTTCCTGGGCGCCAACCTACATTCTTACTTGTCCTGTTTCTTGCCCGACGCCTACTTGACAAAGTCAAATCACAAAGCAACTCTTTCTAATAAAAACAAGCCACATCGCAACAAGCCATGTCCTGCGGTGACGCGAAGCTCAACCACCCCGCCCCACACTTCAACGAGGTGGCGCTGATGCCCAACGGCACCTTCAAGAAGGTCGACCTCGCCTCTTACAAGGGCAAGTGGGTGGTGCTCTTCTTCTACCCGATGGACTTCACCTTCGTGTGCCCCACAGAGATTTGCCAGTTCTCCGACCATGTGAAGGAGTTCAACGACATTCACTGCGAAGTGATTGCGTGCTCCATGGACAGCGAGTACTCACACCTGGCGTGGACAAATATTGAGCGCAAGAAGGGCGGCCTTGGGGAGATGAAAATCCCCATTATTGCTGACAAGACGAAGTCCATCATGAAGGCTTACGGCGTGCTGAAGGAGGATGGTGTGGCGTACCGCGGCCTCTTCATCATTGACCCCAAGCAGAACCTGCGTCAGATCACGATCAACGATCTTCCGGTTGGTCGTGATGTGGAGGAGACGCTCCGCCTGGTTAATGCGTATCAGTTCGTGGAGCAGCACGGCGAAGTGTGCCCTGCCAACTGGAAGCCTGGGTCCAAGGCGATGAAGGCATCTCCCAATGAGGCCCTGGAGTACTTCAAGGCTCTCTCCTGAGGTTTTCGTAAAAAAATGGCGTAGTATAGCTCATATACATTATGATTTCTAATTGCTTCTGTCTCTTGACCTAATTTTTTTTTCTTGCTTATATCATTGTTTGGGGAACTCACGGGGCTAAATTGAATAACGGGGAGAAAAATGGGCGGGGGCTGTAAGTGTGACGCACCTGAAGGTTTCTCGCATTTTATCCTGTCTTGGACTTTTTTTTTGTCTCTGTGTTTAAGTTGGCTTTGTTCATGCGACTATATATATATATATATATATAGTAAAAAGGAAAACCAAGTGAACCGCGGCTAAGCTTCGTTCGCGGGGACTTGAAACTTTGCGTATATACTGTAATTTGTTTCTTTCATAAAGTGGCAAAGCCAGCAGGCGGGTGTGTGTGTGTGTGTGTGNNTGTGTGCGGGGAATGGGTGGAGATTGTTGTTTGCATACCTTAACTTATTTGTGTTCCTTTTTGATTCTTGTGTAAGTTCTGTCCGTGGTAACCAGGATGGCGTGCGGAGTGGTACCTTTCTCTTTTGGTGCGTGATGCGCCTTGTTGGGCCGCAGTGCGTTGCCTTGAGGGCGTGTTGTTGCACGCGGTCCGGAGTGTTGCGATGATGTGGCACCGTACTGGCTTCTTCAATGATAGGCCGGCCGATGTGTCGTTTGAAAACGGCGATGTGGCGGTTTCGCAAGTTGTCGGGGATAAATGGCCGCAGGACTCCTTGCTTTTTGGTGTGTCTCTGTGTGTGTGTGTGCGCTGTCACTACAAGTACTCGAGTGTGCGCGGGACGTTGCGTTTGGAGCCGCACAGACGGCGTGTGTTGCCACAATGCGCTGCTTATTTTTTAGCTTTTCAACGATGCCGCGACTGTCTGAATTCTTTTTGTTGCGCTCGCAGTGTCACGCCGGTCGACAGGGGCTTTTTTTTTTGTTTGGTGGGGGTGGGAAGCGTGCTTGTCTGACGTGGTGTGATGTGTGTGGCAACAGTGGGCGCTGGCATGCCTGTGGTGTGTGTGCGTGGGCGTATTGCCTGCATTCCTTGTTCCTCGTTTGTCTTACCCCACGGCCCGCACCCCCCAATGGGCGTTGTCGCAGGGTCTAGTAGGCAGTAGTGGCTGTCGAGCGTGCCATGCTGGTCCATCTCGACAAGTGGTGGAAGAGCAAGGCCCACCGCCGCATCCGTGGGCCTCGTGGGGCACGTTTCGCGAGCCTTAAGTTTCACGCCGTGTTCATCGTTGCCGTGGTAGGGCTTCTAGAGTGGGTGATGCGCTCGACGGACGACCAGC